AATGCCCCTTGCTCACCTTCAGTGCAATAAAATAACAGAAGATAAATTGGCGAACGTATGTTTGTTTTCGATAAATTCTCGTCAGGCCTTTACATATATATGGTACGAGAACACATTCCAGCATGGTTAAGGAAGGGCCAAATAAAGGATATAAAAAGTTCCATTCTAGCGCACCTGGTAGACTCAAACCACCTTGTGGACGCCAGAGAGGCCTTCAAAGTGTTCTAAAAGGTGCCTTGAAGCAATTGTAAAATCCTTAGACAGTGTCTTTTGATTATGGCGGAAGCGGCCGCCATCAGGCTACGCCGACTGGTCCTGTGCACCCAAAAGGACTTCGTCGCGCCGCCGCAGTTACCATGGCCGAAAGCCATTAATCCAACAGCCCGCAACATATCACCTCTCTCGGCTACCAGTCTCCCCTAACGCTGATCAGATTTTTTACCCCGATTCCTCCCACCTACCCTGACAACCGCACAATTTTTTATACCAACTTGCAGAGTTTATTTAGTTAATTATTATATAAATGTAAAGGTCTGACGAGAATTTATCGAAAACAAAGGTATGATCGTAAATGTATCTTCTGAAATTTCAAATGGGAATTTTCGAAAATTTAAAAATTAAATAACACTTTTTAAAAGCATCAAACGCAACTAACCTTAGTTCTGGCAACCGCCTTGTGCGTTGGTTCCTCGTCCGTGTAGGCCACACCTTCCACCACCTTCTGCATACTCCACAATCTCAACGTTTTGTCACTGGAGGCCGAAAGTGCTACTTGGTCGTCGCTACGAAGGCTGACACTGTTGACTTCACCTCTGTGCCCCTATTAGGTAAGGGTAACGTAGTGTAAGTAACCTACTTCTAACGTTGTAAGCTTACTTCCGGAAACGGTGCTCCAAACCGCTATGTCAGGCTCCATGCCTCCGGATATGACCCGGCAACCTCACAAACGTAAAAAGAAAGTAACAAGTATGCCTACCATCAGCGGAAATCGCGCAGCACTTCACGCAGCCAACATGTCCCCCCCTCAGAGCAAGTGGTCCTTCGGTCCTGTAAGTGCCCGTATGTAGATCGAAGAGCAAGAGCTCTCGGTCCCACGATCCGGTTACTAGCAGTCTTCTGCCTAGGGAGAAGTCAACGCAGGAGACGGCGTTATTGTGGTACCTGCACCCACATAGAGAGAGAGTACTGTCAAGAACCAAATGTTTACCGCTTACCGCAGCGTCAGACTTGTCTCCTTTGAACGCAAGTCATAGACGCGGACAGTCTTATCAAGCGATGTGGTGACGATCCTATCCTCACCATGCAGAATACGGCAGGCGATAACGGCTCTCCCGTGAACACCTCAGTTTCAGCAAACACAAATTAGTTAATGGAAATGCAGACTGAAATCTGCTTACCTCCGATTCTTACGGGGTCCAAACCGCAGCGAAGGTCCCACATAAGAACCTCGGGGGAGGCGAGAACTGTAGCAATAAAGATGTTACCATTATCTTCAATATCCAGATCCACCACACTGGATGCCACATTGAGCTTTGCCTTAAAAATGTAAAAATGCGCCACGCCGGCTTACCTACCAGGAATTTTCTGTACTCTAGATCCTGCAGGTAGATGTCGCCGCCTATTGAACCCGAAATTACTCTGAGGTGGCAATCCACCTTAAAATTATCATACACCTACTTTTCGCCTTGGCTTGTTCTGTTCAAAGAAAACACTCCTTCGGGATGTGTGCAAATCACTTCGGACTCCGCTTCGTAGAGGACTGACCTCCAAAGGCGAACAGTCTTGTCTAGACTACCCGATAGGATATTTTCAGCGGCAAATTTTGAACATGTAACTTGGTCTTGATGGCCCACTAAGGCCTTTGAGGCGACCTGTGATGGCTTGGTTATGCGCAATGGGACCTTACATTTGAGTCGGACTCAAATAATTCCATAGACTGAATGATTCTATCCACAAAGTTAAAGAAAGTTAAGGTTTCGTAGAGTATTATATCCGAAATGAAAGCAGTGATATGCGAAAATAAAACCTAGCACTGCCTGAGCATGAACTGGCAGATGCTCTTATGATTTTTGTGTAAAAGCATGCTTTTTTCACCAATGCCATTTTTAGTTCAACAGTTATAATAGCGAATGTATGGAAATGAAAAAGGATATCCTGAAGAGCATGAGCATTTGTTTACCTTATAAAAAGGTTTACTTATAAGGCTAATTAAGTATTCTAGGGTACGAAACCTAAATTAAGCTAGTGTTTGTCATCGGGAGTATATAAATTTCCAGTATTTCAAACGGAGCAATTCGAGAACACCATATAAATCTTATTTTGACAAGGCTTTTGTGCGTAAGAAATTTCAAAATTTACTTCCAGGAACGTCCAAAAACAAATAAAATTAGCTTCCTACAGAGCTTCATCTCAAAAGATCAATGTTAAGTTCATAAATCAATACTCCTAATTTGAGTATTCTTCAGTACAACCGGTT